CAGGAAGATCCCGGGTGTCCTCACCGGGACGCCAACCGGCGACCTTCTAGCTGTGAGGCCACGATGCTAACCACTGATCCACCTGCAGCCCTGATTTTAAAATGTGAAGATGAAAATAAATATAAATATTATTATTTTAAATTAAATCTTAAGGCAGCTCAAAATAAAATGAGATGAAAGTAAAAGTAATAAAATATCAGTGCAGCTAAATACAGTAAAATGACTCAAGCAGAAGATTCAAAGTTCTCTTTTCACTTTGGGGTGAATTTATTTTCTACATTATTTTATTTCTGAATGGAAACAGTTTGAATGGAACTCAAACTGTTTTTACGTTCAGATGTAATTAAATGATTTAACGGATCAACGAGGTTTTGAAGGTTTTAAATGTTTTTAATTCAACAACAAACGATCTGAATGAATTCATCTGTTAGAAGGAACCATCTGATCAATCAGTCTGATCAGGTTATTGATGAGAGTGAAGCAGCAGCTGTTTAGTTATTGATCCGTTTGATCCTATTGATTGTATTGATCGGTGTGTGCAGGCCGAGGCGAGGCTGGCGGCGAAGCGAGCAGCGAGAGCCGAAGCTCGAGAGATTCGGATGAAGGAACTGGAGCGACAGCAGAAAGAGGTGAGCTCTGATTGGTCCTCGGGCCGCAGCAGCCGATGACTGATTGGCTGCTGAGTGACTGCCGTGTTTTCATTGGTCAGAACATCGACCGTCTGGGGCTTTTCAAAATAAAACTGTTTCCTATGTTGATTGTTTGGACATTTTTTTTGCTTTTTCTGATATTTTATTGATCAATCATCAGTAAACTGATCAGTAATAAACATAATCAATAGTTCTCAGTGTGACACCTCATCAATAAGCTGACATGAGCCGTGGGATCCAATCAGAACCTTCCAGCCAGCCGCCACGACGTATCAATACGGCTGATCGGTGATCAATAGAGAAGCAGCAGCTGTCACCTGTGTGAGGTCAGAGGTCACCTGTGTGATGTCAGAGGTCACCTGTGTGAGGTCAGAGGTCACCTGTGTGAGGTCGGCTCGGTCAGTCCTCAGTGTGAATGGTTCTGTTGACCTGCTCCGGTGAGTCTCTAAAACCTTTAGATCAGTACTGAGCACCTGGCCACAGCTCACTCTGGTTCCACTGGTTCTACTGGTTCCACTGGTTCTACTGGTTCTACTGGTTCCACTGGTTCCACTGGTTCGACTGCGTTAATCATGTGGTGAAGCAGAGGACCGGTCCATCTGTGGTTCTGTGTTTGTTGTTGGTTCAGCTTCTCTGAATACTATATAATAACACGACCCGACCAGAGACGTGACCCAATGTGGTGGTCGGTTCTGGGTCAGGGTTCATTAACGTGGTGGTCGGTTCTGGGTC